CGAATTTAACGATGAATCACGCGTTAGAAATTTTTCACGAGTGAACACGCGTTAAATTTAGCAAATTTAACGCGTTTTCCAGGTCGAAATTGTAACATATTTAATCGTTAAGTCGTTAAATTTTTAACGAATTTTCATGTGAAAAGATTTCGTTAAATTGTAAAAAATTTTTACATGGGGATTTGAAGGGAATTTTTTTTAGAATTTCAAGTGCTTTCTGATGAGATGAAAGCACCTTCGAATAGTCATCCGTGCTCTCATACATCGAACTACTGTTGTTGTACGATTGAGCCAAATCAGGATGATTTGAAGGAGGACTTTTTGGCAAAATTTCTATTGCTTTTCAATAATATGAAAGTGCATTCGAATAGTCACCTATGTTGAAATACAGCAAACCAATATTGTTGTAAGATGGATCGAAATAAGGATGATTTGCATGAAATGTCTTTTTGCCAAATTTTCAGTGCTTTTTGATGAGATAAAAGTGCATTCAAATAATTACCGATCCCGTTGTACACCATGTCAATGCTGTTGTAAGAAACAGTTAAATTGCTATTGGTTAGTGAGAGAATCTCCAGGTTGATTTCAATAGCTTTTCTATAATAGGCAATAGCAGCTATATATTCACCTTGACTCTCCTGCAAGTATCAGAGCTGGTGATAAATAAATGCTTTTTCCCCATCACTCCTGGTTTGATCAAGTAGGATATCGTACACATTTTGGGCTTTGTCGAACTGCCCAAGCTAAATTAGCAACATACCCAAACGATTCCATCCTTCGAGTTGTGGATGAATCTCTTTGCGCATTTGTTCAGTAAGTGTATGTAGTTCTGGATCGTTGTCACTGGTCAATAGTAAATCAACTTGCCAAGGACGATTAGTTCCATCGATTTATTTCATTGCTTCAATACAAAAAAATGGAATACATGGAGAAGAGAATTCTTTCCTCACCTTCGAAATAACTGACGTCACGAATGCTTGCGAAGGCAGTAGTCAATGTTGATAGAATGATAGTTATTGCAAAGAGAATACCTATCAGATTCGGATTACTTAGGTTACTCTCAGCAAAGATTATAGATACTTCTTGATTAAGACATGTCGATAAAAAGTTATTAAATGATAATAATCCATCTTTAGTTTTAAACATTTGATTAAAGTGTGTCTGCAACAGTTCTTGACCACGATAAACTGTGAATGAACTTGCATATGCTTTTCCAGAAAATTGTTGAAAATGAGGATCAGCAATGTGATTGTGAAGATCTCGAACAAAAAACCATATTCTAATAACGAGATCCATTTCCATCCTGCGTAACGATCGATTGAGCATTGAATAAAGAAAACATGGGTACGTATACCACCATATGGGGACATGTTCGTGGTATTTTGGCTCGAATTTGTCGACGACTTTTAGTGCTCCGACGTTATCCTCGAATAGTTGATGACAGTACGAAATAAATTCATCGAAATGTTGTTGTTTTTTTAAGTCAATAGTTCATAAGATTTCTTTTAATATTGGTGTGTACATAAATGATGAATCTAATCGATCTAGATTTTGTTTTTGGCTTCCATTACTGGTTGTCACAAAACTGATGGTAACCAAATTTTGATCGCATTAGTATGCGGCTTGTTGAAGTGCTGTACAGATTGAGACAACATCTGTAAATACACCGTTTACTTTTGTCCATTGTTTGACCCAATCTTCATTTTGGGCTAGGTTTCCATTTAACTTATATATAGTATTGATTTGTGGTATGTCATGCATGATGGGAACAGTTAATTGCCCGAAGGCATCAGAAAAGATCATAAATCCTTTCTCCTCTTCAAAATCGGTTATAAAATCGATGCACTCATTTACATCTGTGAAGAGATGTAGATTGTTGACCACTTCTTTTAATTTGTTGATAATATTGATACAATAGTCATTATTCTTGTCATCAATATCAGCATTATTGAGCCATACAACTATGAAATTTTAAACCATACGAGTGTAAGTAGGCCATCGAGCTCTTCTGCTTGTATGTTCAGATGATGTGGCAGGAGAAATTGCTGTTGTCGACTTTTTCTTCTTGTTCATACTGTGTGTTGTGTTCGGTTAAGGGAAAAATACAGATAAAAAGGACTTGAATTTATCTAGTATGTTGCAATTTTTTTCTCGATACATCTATTTGTATCCAATTGCTGTTTTCATCAAGTCCTTTTTTTCGTTTCACTTTAGTGCTTCACACTTTTATTATTGGTTGTCTTTTCAGGTGCCACCAGAAAACAAATGAATGAAAAAAAATTATT